AGAAGGAAAGGGGCCCAGAAACATTCACGCTTCTGGTTCTGCTGTGGCTCTCTGGCTGTCTGTGGGGAAGCGTATAATTCAGATGGGCCCAAAGACACACAGGAAGTGACTGCTTTGCAGCAGGAACTGTTTTTTGAGTGTTAACTCAAGTCCCTAAACCTTCAGAAGTAGACCACCAGGCCTTTCTGCTTAGCCTGTCTTAGTCTGGAAGTTCTACTAAGACCCATCCACTATTGTTGTCCGTGCTAGTATTTGAAATACCGGTGGCAAAGCTTCCAGCACCACAATAACACATAAGCCACCACAGTACAACAACTTGACAGGCAGGTGGTGGCCGCATGTGCCATCAGGGAAATGCAAATGAAAACCACAATGATTCATAGCTATTAGGATGGCTGCAGTCACAAAGATAGACAAGAGTAAGTACTATTCAAGATGGGGAGCAATGGGAACCCTCATATATCCGCCTATCTCGGGGCGAATGAAACATGGGGCAACCATTTGGGGAAACAATTTGTGAAGTCCTCAACGTGTGAAACACACTTGTTAAACATAGGGGTTATGATTTATCACGTGGATTACAGTTAAACACATATTAGAGGCATGACCCAGCAATTTCACTGCTAAAGCGATCCTTTCCCGCCTTAGTTACCCAGCATCATACACAGAAATAGCACAAGTGGATGTCTTCAACGACCAGGAATTTGCTCACCGTGGAGGAGGCTAGAAGTCTGGATGCGGAATACCAGCCTTATGGGCAGGCACTGGTTCTTGGTCAGCCAGTTCTGGAGGAAAGTCCCATTCTAGCCCCCATCCCCTGGAGATCTTCCTGCGTCCAAGCCCTTGTCTTACCCCACCTCTCCTCTGCTGGCTGGTTCAATTCTTTTGTATCTCAAAAGAGTTTAAGTCAGGGATGGTACTATAACCACAGAAGTCAGGGTGTATGGCACATATTTTGAGGCAACATAATTCAATCTATAAGTCTCTAATAAGAAATCTGAACTACATGCAAAAACTTGGACAAGAGAAGTTGGCAACCACTGAGCCACAAGCTAGCTGGTTGCTGATTGGAATGGGAGGAGCAAGCAACTTCTTGCTTTATAGGCCCTAGCAACAAACCCCTAAGCAGACAATGTACGACCCCCAAAGTAGCAGCCAATGATGCCTAGCTGAGGAGAACCCAGGGAATGAAATCAGATCAAGAGACCCAAGCAAATGCAGAGACTGGACAGAGATTAATGTGCAGGAAAAGGACTAAAAGACTGGTGGTTTCTGATGCTCAATGAAGAGTGAATTCAGGGCAACATCTCCCCTTGTGTCTGGATTGGTTTGGGTTCATTTCACACCGTGGTTGTATAACTTGTGGATAACATGCTCTATGCCACATATGTTCT